ACCAGCAGGCGTGGTGTTTTCACCGCAAAACCCTGCTATGCGTGAATTGCTACGGGTGTGTATTACTACTTTGCTTTCATAAATCATAATATTTGTTGATTTTTTATTTACTATGTATATACCCTTAACTCCAATGTAGCCCATTGAACCACCGCGTTTCAGATATAAACGTCAGCGTGAGGATGACAGCCCCGAAGTGGAATTAAGTTGTTCACAGTTACTTACGAAATATGCTAATGAGAACTCCGAAGATGACTCTGATTATGTACCAATTCAGGAAGAGGAAGATGACTCGACTATATCCGCGAATACCTCTAACGATACGCAAGGTGAATATAGCATGGTAAGTATGTTGAGATTATGAAAATTTATTTAGAAAAATTAGATTAGATTAGAAAAATTTTGCTATAATTCGGTAAAGCCTTTTTCCGGATATATCAAAGCGTTTCCACTAAAGCTTATACAATTCCTTCTAAAATCTATAACCGTATCATAAAAAGTGCAATTATTCTAAAATATATACTTTTTTAAGTTTTCTTAATGAAATTTTATTTTTCTCTCAATTAGGATACAAGCGATGAGAATGCCAAAGATATAAGCTTTTCCGAGGAAAAGCAAACGAAAGAAGAAAAGTCGCCAAAGGAACAGAAAGTGCCAATAATAGAGATCAATGCCAAAGAAGCGGTAAATACTTCGACACCCAATAATGATAAGAAGGAGCAAACAGTTAAATCGGCGATTGATAAAACGATAACTAAGTCACCGCAAACACCACACACACCATTAGATAATGGACAAAGTAAAAGTGGCAAGAGCGGTGGGCTGGGAGAAGAGGCGGTAGTCGGTAATGGATATTGAATAAACTACTAATGAGTTATGCGTTTACGCTTTTAATTATGTTATGATACTTTAGCATTAACTCTTTTTTTTAAAAAGCTACCTTTAAATATAAATACATACATACAAATGCCCAAATGATAGTTAGGAAATCAGAGAGATGTACTCCTACATTGGCAACTTTTACAGAAATTGAATAAAAAAAATATTCACTGAATTAGTCGTAACGAATCAAAAATTAATTGAAAATTCAATATTTTATCAAAAAACTGTTTAACAAAAAAAATATTTATTGAAATTTTTTTATCGAATTTTTTTGATCAAAATATCGTTTTTTATAAAATTCTTTAATCAATACCTATACACATAAATATTTAATTAAGTTTCTTTTATAAATATATGCGAACAGATATCGAAATATATAAACATAAATACGAATTTAATTTCACTGAATTTATTTAATATCGTTGTCGTGCTTTCCTGGAATTCGGTTAGCTTAAATGGTTTATATAGAAATTTTTTCCAATTTTTCAAAAATTATAAATTATTTCCCATAATAAATGGCCTTATGTTTTTGGCCTAAAAAATCAGCATAATTCTCTCTTTTGTGCCCCTCTCCCACACAGTACAAACGCAGGCAACGCCTGAGGTCACAAAAGCTCAAAGTGAAAACTTTTTTAATCTTTCCAATGGTCACAACGATGAGCCAAAGAAAGCAACGCCTGGACATGAAAGCGCCGCCCACACCAAACCGCACATACCGCCGCCATTATTGAGCAACGTTTTTTCCAATGCAAGTAATTATCAATCGAATACCATTACTTTTTAAATAAACTTTTATAAATATTTATAAATATATATTTTAGCTGTATTTAATCGATAGTATTTTGCTTATGTTTTTGTTATTCCCTTTACATATTCAATCAAACCTGATTGCAAAGATCCCAGTGATGGAAAGTTCATAGATGCTAATGATGCTTGTTCTGATAAACAAATTGAAATCCCAACCAATAATCCAGTACTACCTCAACCACCAACACCATCACAACAACCACTGTCATCTTCCTCAACACTTTCGTCTCCATCCTGCTCCACCACATCCTCCACCTCCTCGTTAGCATCGTTTACGGCAAGTGACGATTTTGTTGTAGACGACGATCGTAGTGATCCGCCGACTCCAACGCCTTCACTCAATACGGCATCGTCGACAGAGGACGTCTATCTGAGTCCGTTCGGTGTGTGTCGGTTTTTCTGTAACACTAAAATGCTTGTTTAAAATTGTGTTTGTAGGAAGAGCTGGGTTAAAATTTGAAATTAATGAATTATGAACTCCTAAAAAATAGTTCTTTATTTAAAAACCTTACTGTCCGAATTTAGAATTGCTACACAGACTATTTTTACTTTGTGAGCTCTTTCTCCAAACCAATTGATTAAACAATTGTTTTCCGCTCCACATTTTTTCACTCATCCTTTAAATCACCCATCCTTTTTTCATGTGTAAACAGAGTTAATTGATCTGCAATAATCCTTCAATTGTGTTCAATTACAAATCAGTTACAATTCTTCTTCATATTTTGTGCCATATAATATATAATCATGCCTAATTTTTTCTTACTTTCTTTTTCAAGGCTCTCCCCCAAACTTCAACACATTTCATAAGCCATTATCCAGCCAACAGAATATGAGTTCAAAATTTGGTGATGTAGAAGGTAATTATTTATGCTGTAATGATTATATTTGAAATACAATACTATATAAGTATTTATAATCAAGAATATTTCTAGAATAGCATTAATATTTTGAATTTATAGCTTAATTGCTCACAATTACGTATTACTATAATCGTAATGCTTGAAAAATTTGGTATTAAAAATTCTAATTTATAAAAATTTTAACAAAATTTAATGATTACTGTTACAGTGATTGTAATGCTAAAAAATTTCGGAAAATTGCAATAAGCGCAATTCCATTGTTTGAAAACCATCAGGGAGTTTGCAATAATTTATTTAATTATTTGAATTACTATAATCAGAATGCTAAAAACTTCTAATTATAATTACAATAATCGTAATCCCACGCTAATAATAACAATTATATAGAACACCGTATATTATTAAATAGTATGATTACGCTAATCATAATGCTGAAAATTTCCGACAATTGATCGCAGTAATGGTAATGCCAACATTTTTCGGTATTACAATTACTGTTACAGTCTAATCGCTTGTTAAAAAATTGTAATTCAAGTGTAATGCTAGAAAAGTTTGGTAAAATTTTATTAAAATTACTATTAAAGTGTTCAGAATCATTAAATATTCCGATTACAATAATCGTAATGGTAGAAAATTTTGGAATTACAAGTAGTCGTAATTTTAAATACCACTACAAAATAGTTTTTTTTTTTATCAAAATAACAATATTTCATTTGTTGGCGGCGAATATCTATGCCGTTTTGCAAAAACTAACACAAAACAAATTTCTTTGTAAAATTCATTACTTTTGGTTTTTTAGAAGCAGATCCATCAGTTGAAGATGGTGATGAACATTCTCAGCATGCTAAGCAATTCAAATCTCAACCTGAGCATAAAGCACAACATCAACAGCAACAACATAAACAATCATACCGCTACCGTAGAAACCGACGTTGAAAATCCTATTATTTTATATACATATATACGCATTTATATAATACTTTTAACTTAGTTTAAAATATAGAAAGTCTTTGTAAGAAACACGATTTTAAATTTTCTGTTAAATAATATGGATTTCAATGTAATTTTTACTATTAAATGTTAAACAAATAAAATTTACGATAAATTCGAACTTTCCTTGAAAGCAATATAATAAATTTTTTTTAATGACAGGTTTTTAAATTTTTGTTTTTCATAAAAAAATTAATCTACTTAATGGTGTACCCGAAAATAAATCGGGCTTTATATTTAGGGAAATCATACAACAATAGCAGCGTTTTATTTTGAAAATTTGCAATAATAAAAACTATTTTTCAAACGTGCTAAGTTTATACATACATACGTTTAGAGATTTAATATTGCTTGTCGAGTGACATTCAAGATCGTATACTGTACCTAACTGTTGGTAGTGCACACCTTAACTGCCGCTACTAATACGATATAAGCTAACATAATACTTATGTTTTCATTGGACCGGGATATCTACTATCTGATCAAATCGGCAAACCGAATCGATAAAAATTTGTTTCCTAGATTGGTACAGCCACGGCTACGGTATCATTAAACATGTTGCAGACTTGTTTTGGGAAGTCTACTTTATCACGAACATAAGTATTTGAGTGTCAAAAAGAATTCAGTGAAGGTCGTGTAGTCATCGAAAACTTACCTCATGCGAGTTGTTCATCCACCTCAGTTAATGAGGATAAAGATATTAAAGAAAGAGTGCTTGAAAACTGTCGCATTGACATCAGAGAGATAGCAGAGGATCTCAGCATCTCTTATGGATCGACTCAACTCAATCTGGTTAATGTTTTGAGTCTAAAACGTGTCAGTGCTAGACTCATAGCAAAAGACCTGAATTGAAAATTCGACGTCGAGTCGAGGTCGTAAAAGATATGCTTTACAACGAAGCTGAGCACCGTACATTCATCAAACGCTTAATTACTGGTGTCGAGATCTGGGTTTATTAATATGACATCGAAACTGTCCAACAATCTAAAAATTATTATATTTAAGTTTTTTATTATAATACATCAAAATATTGTTCTCATTTTTGTCACTCCGGGTCAGTTATCTGTTATGATCAGATTGATATACGTAAAATGATTGGTTGTTAGTTTCAACAGACATCAATACCATTTTGTCAACTTATTTTGCAATTAACAATTTTGGAATAACGTTGTAAGCATGAAAAACGTGATAGGGCAAATATATATTATCTATATTTTAGTCTCGATGTATTTAAAATTGTTAACTTTTTTTCTCTATTTTTATTTTTTTTTTGTAAGATTGTATGAATAACGCTGACAGAAAAGTAGTAAACTTATTTTGCTTGATGGTCTCCTTTGATAATACATAAAGTTAAAAACCATTCTCATGAGTTTTTATAATATTTTATTAAAATTCTACAACTCTACATGGATCCATGTATCAGCTTTAAAATACATACATTTCAGATCTCAATAATATCAACTACTCCACCTCCTCAAATTTGAATTTCATTTCACCGCAAGGCGTTAGAATTAAATTACTCTTATATTGCAAGTCATTTTGTTCATCGGTCCAATAGATTTTATATTTACGTAACAAGCGTGCCAACAACACTTCCATTTCCAAATCGGCTAAACGTTTACCAAGGCATGTGCGCGGTCCAAAACCAAAAGGCAAATAAACGAAGGGATTCTGCGATTTGACCTCTTCAACAGGGTTCGACACATTTTTGGGCGTTTTTAACCAACGCTCCGGTAAATATTCATTGCAGCGAGGAAAGAACATCTCCGAATTGCAAAGTTCCATATTTCTCATATGCACGGCGGTACCCTTGGGCACCTTATAGCCGGAGAGCACCAGATCGCGACCAGTTTGACGCATAGTACCCGAGACGATGGGCATTATGCGCATCGATTCTTTAATGCAGGCACGTAGATAGGGTAAATTGTTAAAATTTTGAGCATTTAGCGGAGACTTGTGTTCCGGAAGTAGTTTCCTGAGCTCCTGACGCAAAATGTCTTGTTTATTCTGATTTTTTGCCAGAAAATATAGCGCAGTTATCACAGTGGAGGAAGTCTAAAATGTAAAAAAAAATTAAATAAAAGTATTGAGAAATCGCAATAAGCGACAATTTATTTTACCGTGTCCAAGCCTCCAAACAGCATATCGATCGCCATGACCACCGCTATATTTCTATCGAGGCGTAAGAGTCTTTCAAACACAGATTTCCTCGCCTCTTTATTGCCTTCCGCTTCGATACGTTGCAGCGCTTTATCCACAAACTTCCTTGTAATCTCTGTGAGTTCATCGTGTAAGCGCATAAGACGCTTAAAACTGGGCGTATGATAGTAACGCCATATTGAAGGCGCTATATCGTGATCGTAAGTGTATTGCATAAACTCCGACATGGCGTCAGACATGCGCAATGCGTCCGCATCAGCCTTGCCGGTGATGAGATGTAGACGCGAGTTAAGCGCTACATAGCAGATGGACTCAAATGACCACATGCGCAGCTCCTTGAGAAAGTCTGTAGTGAGCTGGCCGGTCTCAGTATCACGTATGTTGGCGATTCTATAGAGAGATATTTATGTAAAGTATTTTTTATAGTCCAGACAATATAATAGCGGCAACTCACTTATCCACCAATTCCATTGAAATGATATCAATTTCCGGTAATACCTCACGCATGTTTTGAACTTTCATCATTATGGGATTAACCTTCTGACGTATATTGAACCAGCGCTCACCCTGCCTAGATTATATAATATATTGTTATTAGCAAGTATACATATATACGAATATTTTACATCCTTTATTGCTACTTACTCCCCCACTAAACCCCATACACCACCGTAAGCATCTGGATTTTGTACCTCTCTATAATATCTGATGCTCTCAATACCCTTGCGTATTGGCCAAACACCTTCCGTTCTAAACACTTTTTCAAAATCGATTGGGTTGTAAGTGCAAATCAGATCGGAACGTCCAAACGAACCGCTTATGACAAAAATGTCACCATGACGTTCGCGTAGTGTGTTATACATCTTCAAAAAATTTGCTCCATACAATTTACCTATAGAAAGAGTAATATAACTAATTTCATAAATTTATGAAGTTTTAATTAAATTTTACCGCCTGGCATGAAGTCCATCATTAGTCCAATACTAGACGGTCCAGGTATTTCTTTGTATTCCTTTGCATTCGCCCATTCTTCTTCAGCTGTTTTTTCTGTCAGTTGATGCTGCAATATTTTATGAAAGATATCAAAGATAGTTTTCAAAAGCGGGCATTAAAAAATAATTTTTAAAAATATAGGTTGTTTTTTTATGAAACCAACAGAGAAAGAGGGAATTAAGCGTTAAGAGGGAGCGAAATAAAATATAAACGAACACTTGGTTTTAGCGAGGTTATTTTACTCCTTCGTTGACTGCCAAACAAGGGCTCTTGGCCTTCCTAAACATTTTGCATTTTTCGTTAGCTCAAAATATACTTGAGTAATATATATTGAACTACGAAATATTCAAGCTTTTGGTATATACATATATGCATATCAATTTGAACTTTGAGGAGTCTGCTTTTCTTATGGATCGAGTCAACATATTCTGGTTAATAATTTGAGTATGAAACGTGTCAATACTAGACTCGTAGCAAAAGACCTGAATTTTTTGCAAAAACGATGACGAGGCGAGGTCGCAAAAGAGATTATTGACAACGTATGCTCTCTACATACATCAAACGCATCATTACTGGTGCCAAGACGTGGGTTTATGAATAATGGCATATTTCCAAATGAAACTGAGAAAATAAACATTCGCTAACGGCACTGAAGCCTGTTCAAGCCGAGATTTATAACAATTGTATGGAAAATTGGATTAAAAATTTTGACATGCTTGTACATATTGGCGCAGGAGCCTATTTTAAAGGCGAGAATTATAAATTTTTTTTTTTTTTTTTTTTGTAATCAAGGATCAAATTCGATCAGATGTACATATATACAATAATTTTAGTGCTTAGACTGTTCAGCTAACAGCTTACTTATCAGCTGGCTAGGAAACGAATAATCAAGAATACGAAGAGAGGCGGCTGCGTAAAAGTGAGAGAAAACAATAGATTGGTTCCAAGTAATTTTGCTTTGTAATGGATAGCTATAGATTTTCTCGCTCTCACAATACCAATTTGCAAATTAAAGTTTTTAAAGATGCTTTCAAATTCAATTAAAATTTACTAAACAATCTAAAACATTGAATTATCTTCCACCAAGCAATTCAATAAGGAATAAAATAAGAAATATGGAGAAAAACGAAGAAATTCAATATTAAACAAAACAAAAAAAAATTATAATATATGGTAATATTTTATTTGGGATTTTAAAAAAACAATAAACAAAGGCATGAACCGATTTTTAATTTCTTTAATTTATATGAAATAATAAGCAAGCCAAGTGGTTACCGCTGGGAAATACATATATAGCAAAGCCACATTTTTGGGCTTAGTACTCGCATCGAAGGACTTAAGTGGGCTCTCTTAAGTGCCCAACCCGCCTAAGTACCTCAAAAGACTAAAAATTTTCGTAACTCATTTAAGCGGGTTTTACTGTACGTATATTTCGAGATGCGATGTTTCTGTCATAAGTTATGTAAGAATCTTCAATTCTTATTTTGGACCTTGAAAATACATTAATTTGCATAAAAGATCGGCTAATTATATGGCCGAAAATATTTTTGGCAGAATACACAAATGAAAAGAAAGCTTTCTTTACTAAGCGACAAAATGAGCAAAAACAAGTTCAATGCTCCCACTGCAATAGTCGTACTCTGTAACGATGTGTGCAATATACTCAGTTACATACGCACAGACATTTAATTTGCGTTTCCATCAGCTGATAAGGCGCGTACGACAGCTTTTGCTCGTGCTCCACAAATTTCTACAAAATTATGAGTGCAGCTGCACCCAAATCACCACTTACCTGCTGCTCCAACGCTGCATTGCGTGTAGTCAATGGCCGCAAATACGTGACGGGCGCCAGACGCAGTTGTTGTATAGCGTTAAGCGGCTGTTGCATGTAGCGACAGAAGGGTTGAAATCGAACGCGAAACATTGTTTGAGCTTTTGGTTTTTATTTTGCTTTTTCTTATATATTAATAGATGCGTATTTTTCTTTTTAACTTATTATTTATATTCTTCAGATCAGTAATTTTCAGAACACACACTTCAATATTTTTATTTCGAACGGCTCAGAATAAGTTTGAATGCAGCGAAGGCTCCACAGTATTCAATATGAACTCCTCGCTGGTTGCAGTGGCACTGAACTCTTCGGTTGCACTACATAAAGTTTAAGTAAAAGTATTGTGCTACTTAAATTCAAGGAGAAAGTAAAGAAATATATAAAATTTGTGCAGTATAAAGTGAGAATGAAGCAGCATGTGAATCAGCATTGAAGAGAAGTGATCATTTGAAATGACAAAAATAAAAACGGCAATGAAATTCTGGATAGTAAGCGGTAACGATCTTTAACAGCAAATTTCGAAGAATTGGGGATATATTGCGCAAGGGGTCAATTCTTAATATACATCAAGGATCAATTTTGACAGGGAGGACATTAGCGCTTTGTCGATTTATGAGGGTCTTTATGATCAGTTTTAAAGTGTTTTAGGTACAACAACGGATCGGCGTTCTAAGCTGTCCAAGAGAGGTATGTACAATATATGTTACGATCGAACTTTAAGCCTAACCTAACCTAAACATCTTGAGCATTATGTATCTCCTTGATTTACTCAAAGCACTTAAGCGCCACCACGGCTTGAACTCGCATCACATCATTAAGGTTAGCGTGGTACAATGACGGTCGAAGGGCTACATAAAATTACCTGTTCGAATTTGGTTTTATAAGTTCGTTAGGAAGCTTCCACACTGGATTAATGCAGACTTTCAAATTTATTCAATACATATTTTTATCTGATGAAATAGTAGTTTGAAACTTATATGAGACTATCAACACTGATGAGATTTAACAAAAATATTTGTCTACGTGACTAGACTCTCAATATTAGTAGTAAAATTAATATAATTTATTCAATAAAGAAAAAAGATTATTTTTAAAATTGGTTAGCTTTCTCCTAAGGTCATATTTCGGCTTTCGAGGATCGATTGTGAACAAAACTTGATTTTTTAAGCATAAGCAGCGATACAAGGAAACGAAATATCTTATTACGTCACTTTGTACGAGTACTCGTAAACTGCTTGGTGTGAGCTGCAGCAGAAAAAGCTCAAACAACCAAACAGCATTTGTGCTGTCTTAATGAAGGTATTATTTTTTTCACGTTAAAAAACGTTGTTGTAACCTTTTATTTTTGTTTTCTATAAATTACTATAATTGATGTTAAATCTTAATGCAAAGAAACAAAAAGAAAAAGATTTGGTGTTATCATTTGTCTATTGAACCATTCAAAATAGTAAAACTGTTCTAAAATAAGCAAAAACAAAACTTGGTAGCATTGAAGATAACGGTTATACTCGATAACTTTGTTGTTGCTTTTACATGTAATTTTTTTGCCAACAGAGCAAAAGCGGTCAGAGAAATGGCGTCTCGAAGTAACTGAAGTATTTAACTGAGCTGATCTTGATTCAGCCTTATGTTTCCTCAAACACACCAAATTCGTTTCATGTTTAAGAGCTGTGATCGTTATTATTATAGGAATTATGGTGTTTGCTTAGCTCTCGAATTAAAAAGATTTCATTTGTTGTATAGTGGTATTCATCTCAAATTGCCGATTAACTTAGTACCAACTGAAATATTTTTATATATAAGTTATTGGTAGTAAGACCCCAGAAAATTGCAACATATTATATATAAATTAAGTATTTTTTTGATACTTTTTTATTCCAACATTTAAGGACAATATCACGAGCTACAAAAATGGATGTCAGTTTATCAAAACTAAAATACCTACATACATACTAAATTTCACATAAAAAAGTTCAGTTACAAAATTATTTTTAAAATTTCTAAAATAATTGTTATATTAGAGGTATATATTTAACTTTTATTTTACTATTAATTTTAATTTTCCAAATACTCTTAACAGCGAAAATTCTTTGAAATGTAATAAATTTCGAAAATGTGTCAGAATATATTTGTATAATTTAAAAATATATATTTTTTTAGTTGTCTATTATAAAATATTAAAAAGTCAAGTTTATTAGAGAATAGAATATTGATGTTTTTTGTTCAAGGTGATAAGGCAATACTTATTTCTGATCGAGTACTGTAGTAACCCATGTTTTCGAGCTTATAAAGGTAGACATAGACATATTTTTATATTTTTATATATCTACTTCTTAATAGATTTCGTCGAAGATTAAAAAAGGAATATGCATCGTCCTCATAAAATTGAACTTTACATTTCCGATACGCTATAGAGAAACGTGAATGTATTGAAGCGAACAGTAAACCTAAGTAAGTTCAAACAAACAAAGGCATGGTTATTTCAAAATATAATCGAAAATAATGGCGTCGACAATTATACAAGTATAGTAATTTGGAAAGTATTGTACAAATATTCTACATTTCAATCAAATATTTGTGAACATTTTGTTAAAAATATGATTTAAAGAATATAAAACTGTCTTTTTTCGAAATGGACTTAGTGAGTTCTTCTTGTCAACATAAACTTTTACTATCAAATTCTTTTCATATACCTCCAATATAACAGCACATCAATTAAACATTCTTAAAATGAATATGGTATTACTAGAAAAGGGAATCACTTATACAGAGAAACTGCCAATAGCACAGTCCTCCTCTTCGAGCGGCATAAATCTGAATTTCACCGGCGCCTTTGGTGCCAAAATGAGATTGCTTATATACTCCATTTCCTTCGGTGAAGCCCAGCTTATCTTATACAAGCGCACAAGACGCGCCAACAGGGTTTCCATCTCCATTTCAGCTATACGTTTGCCCACACAAGTGCGTGGACCGAAGCCGAAGGGCGCATAAATGAATGGATTACTGCTGCGCAATTCCGGACAAGCACTTTCCCCCGATTTTAGCCAACGTTCCGGTATAAATTCCTTATAACGCGGATAATATTGCTCACTATTGCAGAGAGCCATATTGCCCAAGTGCACCGCGGTGCCGCGCGGTATACGATAACCGGAGAGCACAACATCTTTCGGCAGCGTGCGCAGATTACCCGGCGCTATGGGTGTTATGCGCTGCGCTTCTTTGATGCAAGCACGTAAATAAGGCATGCGTTTGGTGTTCTCAACGGTCAACGGTGTATATGGATCAGGCATAATTTGCATTAACTCACGACGTAAGGCACGCTGCTTCTCCGGATTTCGCGCAATGTGATACAACGTTGTAATAAAGGTGGAGGCGGTCTGCAAATAAATGTGTTATTATTATGGATAAATAATTATGCTACTTGATCGAACCGTGTCCATGCCAGAGGTCAACGAATCGATGCTCATCAATATTGCATAATGTGTATCGATAAGCAAGAGTTTCTCCAGCACGCTCTTTGCTTCAGTTTTGCCTTCACTTTCAAAGCGGTGCATTGCTTCCAGCACATACTTATAAGTGATTTCCGTGATGCTATTGTAGGAGCGCATTAATTTCTTGAAACCCGGTGTTTCGAAGTACTTCCACACGGAGGGTCTCATATCGTAGAGAAAACTGAGATTAAAACAATCAGCTAAATTTTGCGCCAACATCGCTGCTTCTTTATTAGCATTTTCACTGGACATATTTAGGCGTTTGTTCAGCGCAATATAAGTGACCGACTCGAACGCCCATTTCTTAAGCTCAATATGAAAATCGTTTTTTAAGAGACCTGTGATTGGATCGCGCAGTATTTCAAGCCTAAAGTTGACAATATAAAAAACATGTTTATGTTGAAAATAATTATAAGTTCATAAAGCTCACCTTTCTACAAATCTCAAGGTTATTTTATCTATTTCCGGCAGATCCTCGCGTATACTGGCCGATTTCATCATAACTGGGTTCACTTTATTACGCATGTCACCCCAACTGCGTCCATGTCTAGAGGATATGTAAATATGTTTTCATAAGAATCAGAAATACCTAAATATATGTTTTTACTCAGTCACAAGTCCACTGTGGCCCTTAAAGAAGTCAACACGTTTTACTTTTCGATAATAATCGAAACTCATTAAAGACACACGTATTGGCCAGATACCCTCATTGCGATAAACCACTTCAAAATCATCCGCATTATATGTGAATAACGTATCGGGACGATTAAACATACCCTTCAATAGAAATATGTCACCATAACGCTTGTGCAGCATTTTATGCATATCGATATAGTTCACATTATGGAATTCACCTTAAAATGGAAATACAATTTTTTTTTATACTTCATTCGTGGAGTATTACTTGAGTTCTATGAAGGAACTTACCACCAGGCAGAAAATCGAGGACAACCCCGTACTTAGAAGGGCCGGGAATCATGCTATACTCTTTGGCATTCAACCACTCGGGATCCGTGCGTTCGGGTACATTTTCATCGATGAGTTCTTTAAGTTGCTGTTCGGTCTAAAATTATATTTGGTTTTAATAAATAAAGATAGTATTTAAACGTTTGGAAACCCGTTAATGTACATTTTTTATATCTGGAGAGCTTACAGTATATTAGAAGAGTGTTGTAATTTGCAAGTTTGAAGATAAAGTTTGCGATACGTAAATGTATTTTAAACCCTGAAGGATTAAATAAATAGTTATGTTCAGAAGACAGTAAATACAACGGGTAAATATATATGTCGACCCTCGAAGTATAAAACTATTTTCTTACTTAACCGTCCTCTGAGAAAACTTCTAGTTAATAAAAGAGTATCATTTTTGGGCTTTAACATTATTTAGATATCCAGATACCAGTTAACATCTAAATAACGATTATACTTATTCGTTAAGCTACATGAAAAATTGTAATATATACAAGATTATTATTATTGTATAAGATAGTTTCATGATTTTTACTATGTCTTCCATTTGGAATACCAATCCATACTCCGCTAGCTGTAAACTTCAAACCTAAGTTTAATAAGAGCTTAGTTTTTTGGATATATATCGATATATTCGTAGATACATACATTATTCTCCGAAAATTGAATTTGATCTGGCAAATAGTTGCGGAGATATGAGCGTTTGTGTAAGGACTTTTTAATATAGTGTAATCGGCTCTCACTATTTTAAAAGCGTTTTTCTCGAAACTCTTTTTCAGCGTCGGTGATGCGATTTCTCCGTTGCGTTTAAACCGATCGACCAGAAATTTTCACACGACCCTCCTAGATAATTCGCCAGCTAATAAACGAATTAATATAGTTAATTTTTTTAAATAATTTCGATTTTAAGGCCATTGTGAGGATTACAATTTTTCACAGAAAAATTACTTTTTTCTTGGGATGTCGCCATTTTATCAAAAACTAAAATTTTTAGTAGTCGTTCGATCATTATCTTATTCATTTATGGTTTTTGGATTTGAGATCATTTAAAGCTGAAAAATCTTTTTCACCGCCGGGCATCTTTTTTCAGAGGACCTTCTGGAGGTCGACTATGAGATCAAGGGAATTAAAAATTTTTCAAAATGAATCGCCGATTATTAAATTACATAAAATTTTGCGAATGCAACTTATTTTATTTATTGATTAAATAAAGTGCCTTTTCAGAAAAAAAATCACAAAAGAAAGCGTTGTTCTGACTTGCAAATAGATATCAGCCCCTAATACTATCGAAAGGTCAACCATAGAATGTATTTAATAATATGCAGTTTACAATTTGTGCGAAAAGATATAGATTGATTTCGCCTACTTCCATATCTATATATGAATGTATTGGCCAAGTCTTCATATCGAACATATCGAACTTAATATATTTCCTAACAGAAACTTAAATGTACCTTTGAAGTTTCTCACACTTATCCATAGCTCCTTCCAAACTATTATTTACTTTTCTAATATGATTCTTTCGGTACTGATTGCATTTACCGAAATATAGAATAATAACGTTATAAGATTGGTCATCTTTTTTTATTACCCTTTTATTTTACTGTGGTTTAAGATGCTGAAATTTTTGACAATTTTAAAGATAACTTTAGATGGCAGAGATAACAATTGCCAGTTCTCATGGAGATTTCTAAATATTTACTGAAGTTATCTCTTGTACAAACAGATAGATATCGCGAAATCCTTTCTTCTTCTTATTTTAACCATTATGAGAACTTAATTATTTTTGGAAGGATTATATGTACTGAAATGGAAAAAGCAAAATGTTCTGCTCTCAGGATATTATCATCTAACTAAGCTAATCTAAGCTCCTTTAGTTCGCGACTAATTAGATATTAGTATTAAAATGTGTTAAACTATATATGATAATTTCGTCATAAATTATATAAGTGTACCAACATGGTACTTATATATTATTTACATTTAATGTATGCGTTGTTCTTATAATTCGAAAAGTAATACAGCTGAGCATCAACAATAAACTCATTCAGCTCTCTCCGAAATTTTACCCAAAAAAGCATATTCTTTATAATTTTATCTGCCACGATTACATACATATTCTCTTACATACGTATTACAGTTGAATTTTATTTCTTTTTTAATAATTTCGTAATATTTAAGCACGCGTGATATTTTTTATGGACGAAATAAAATATACAAAGAAGTATGTAATACAGAGATAAACAAAAACAACAATTTCGTCACTTTAGTTCACTGCACTCAGAATATTTATTAAGTTATATATTTACTTATAATCACACAAGTGTACTTAAATATGTGCAGACATGCAGCTATATGTGTTTTTACAATATGGATTTTATGAATTTTTTTACAATTTGTTTCATGAAATCCATGTTTTTGAATTTTTTTTATGCAAGCAACGATGGTATCGAGAATATATTCAAATGTTGCTGATGAAAAAAGAAGATGGGATTGAACTATGGTATGTCTTTCTTCTGTTTACAGGTATTTACAAACTGTCGAAAATATACTTGATTATGGTACTTAAGTTATTCCAAATTTTTTGTAATTTTTTTATAAAATTAGCGTTTTACAATATTTAAAATTTCAAAGCCGCTTCGCTGTTTTGTAAACACTCTACTTGTATGGTTTATGTATATTAGATTATAGTAACACTCACCGCACTCGAATAGCCGGTACGCCGCTGGTGTGCTTTATGTGCGGCACAGCTCAGCTGTGGAAGTCGAGCGAGCCCAGGACCGGTTTTTTTAACTGCATATAGCATCTTCCACATTTTGTTTTGATACTTACTTTTATTGACGCTTTTTTATTTACTTATTGCTTTTATTTATTTCTTTTTTCGTGCCGGTGAATATGGAATTGCCGAAAATTCAAGTGAACAATTAATGCAAGGCCGGTGGAGCACTGAAGTCGCCGAAACCCGCAGCGTTACTGAATATTCAAGCTGGTGTAATGCCGGTATTTAATTGATATCATGATTAAAATTTTAAGGTAAACACAAAGAATGTAATCGAAAATTTTGCCAAAATGCATTTGGGGACAGATAAGTAAATGCACAAGGAAGTTACACTCAAAGAAATTATATAAAGTAATCAAATGCAAAAAAAAAAATAATGAAAATATATACATATGTACATACGTAGTATACTTAAAACACTTACGCTCTTACGCTTTTTAAGTCGGCTAATTTCATATGTATGCGAATGGCGTCCCCCGCGTCGTTTGGGTTATTTTATATTTCTAATGAGAGAGTAGAAAGTTTTTGAATAAAACAAATAAAATCTTACAAAAAAAACACACCAAAATAATAATATAAAATAAATTCAAAAGTAAGACATCTGATTAATTCGTTTCTTATGCTGGTATTTTACGGCTATAAAGCAATAATTACGGCCTAATTGTCTTCGGGATGTTGTTTTTGCTGATTTCATTATACTTATAAAAAATAAAAATATCTGCAATTATTTTGACATAATTAAACTTTACAAAATTTCGGGATCCCGGTTGTCAATCCCGAAAACTCGGGATTCATATATTATACTCGTTTTCACAGCAGATTAAGCTATTTGCGTATTTTATCATAAAAAATTTGGTTTTTTCACTATTGTTAGAGGTATAACCTGTAAGAATTACGGGCTTAATGTCTTCGAGATGTTGTTGTTTTTGCTTTTGATTTATTAAAAACAAAAATATGATATACTCATTACTTAATAAACGCATTAAATTACAAAGCCAAAAAATTTCGGGATCCCGAATTTCAATTCCGAAAATTCGGGATTAAATTATTATACTCGTTTACACAGCTGATTATGCTTTTTGTGTATTTTATTTTCAAAAATTGTGTTTTTCAACTATTGTTAGTCGTTCAGACTTTAATGATTTATGTACATAAAGGTATTTAAAATTTCACAGTATAAAATTTGTGTCAGTCAAGATTCTTGAGGCAGACACTAGTGAAACAGTATGCGCATTCTATAAATTTAACAATCTGTATTTCAGTATGTTTCCTGTACAAATTTTCGCAAAATGAAAAATATATGTATATATATATTTAGATTTAAAAAATTCTGCCAACTTTTTAAATTAACGTTTATTTTACGAACCGCTGTCTACAAATTAACTCTTAGTACAGTACGAAGAGAAATTCGCACATCAAATCGTATAGTCTATGGGCTTTCAAAGGGAGCTTTCAATATATACAGCAAAGAATATTACTAAATTCTGGGAGCTTCGAGCACAGTTTCCTACCCTACTCTCAACACAGCGTGCCTCAAATTCTCTAAAAAGCTTTCAATACAGTACGCAAAAGTTTTAACACAGGGAAAATATTGAATCTGGTACGAAGTGTATTTTGAAAGCTTTTTACTGCGAATTGTAGAATAGTAATTTTTTTTTAATAGTATGATATTTGTACTGAACACGGTATATTACGTCGCTTTGCCACGATGTTTGTAAAACCCAAAAGGGATGATATATATAAATGATCAGCGGGACGAGCTGAGTCAATTGAGCTATGTCCGTTTGCCCTTCTGTATACTAACTACGCTAACTAGTCCCTCAGTTTTCAGCTATCGATCTGGACACGTCCCTTTCTCCCCAAAAATACTTCTCTTATGTTGAAACAGCCAATATCAAACTACCATACCATGTAGCTGACGTATAAACTGACTGACAAACTATACCTGTAAAGGGTATTAAAGCTTCGATACAACCGAAGGTTTTTCGGTGTTTTTTTTTATTATTACTGGTAACTTTTTTTTGCTCCAGTCTTATGGTTCTAAATACCTACTTTCATCTCCTTTAAAAATATTTTAAAACTTTTCGAACTTTATATAATAAAAAAATGTTATTATGATATAAGTTCCAAACTTAAAAAAAAAGTCTAAATAAAAATAAACAAATTTATCAAAACTCATTCATATATTTTCAATGGGAAGAGCAGTTACCAACCTTACCTGTAGGAAATTTTTACCTCAGCGAAATAAATTAAAACTAAATTTTCATACAATTTAAATTACATTTATTCGCCATTCGTAATTACTTTCTTAGAGTTTTATATATGTATATATAAGTATGTTTTATTGTTTATTATTATTATTATTTTTTTTTTTAGGTTTTCATTTTTATAGTTCTCTGATATGCGCTAAACTAACGTTAGACGTTGAAATTGTTTGTTAAAGTTAAGAGAATCAATGCAAGGAATTTTTAATAGTATATATATATGTATATATGTTTTTTACATATTTCTTGTTTAACTTATTTTTTTTTATATTATTATTTTTTTGGTTTTGTAGTGTTTTTTGTGTATCTTAGGTACATAACAGTTTAGATTTTACGCATGCTTTATAATGTTTTGCTTGAATATGAAAAAATGTTACTCGAAGAAACGTTCAGCTTTATACGATTATATGAGAAAAACACACATACCGCCATATTTTGTCTAGATTTATGGTATAAGATTTCTTAGATTCGCTTTAAAGTTTTCGGTTAAGTATATGTGTGGTTCTATATACATATGTGAGTATGTATTTATGATTATGATTTGTTAGGAAAGAAAAAGTATTTAAGTATATAATTTTATGTAAGTTAGTTTTAGTTACCAGTTTTTAGCGGATTTATTATTAAAGTGAAGTTCAATTTAAGTACATTTAAAGATTTTGAGTTGTATTTAATACTTAAAAAACGTTGAAGATTTTGCACATCAATTTTTTTTTTATATATATATATATATATTTTTTTTTTTTTGGAGAATGCTCATAAATATTACTTAGTTTCGAACGGACATATATATTGTTTTGCTTTTACAGTTATTTTATATGTTTTTTCATTCTTTAGAAAAGAAAGATTCAGTTACAAGCAATCAGTTTTAATCAGGAGCACAAATTTAAAGAAAATTTATATTTGTAACAGTTTTTTTTTATTTATTACAATTTTTTTGTTTGTAAAATAATTAATAGTAGGCATGCCCTTATGATAGCTACTCATTTTTCTTATATATACACGTTTGAATTAAATTAATTTTTTTATTTTTTTCCACTATAAAATATGTTTTATTATCTAATATTAATATTTATGTATAAAAATTATAAAAAATTAAATTTCGTTGTTTCTATATATTGTGTATCTATATAATTAGTTGGGTTATTTTGTATTGCCTACAAAAGTATTTTATATAATATATATATTATATATTAATAAATATAAATACGTAAAATTTATTGCAGGCTTATTTGGAGCGTTTCTATACAGTGTATGTATAAGTAAGTACATATATTTTATAAAATAATATATATAACCGAGTATGTTTTATATCTACTAACATAAATCTGTAAGAGAAAATAACAAAAAAGTCAATTTTTTTAAGTAAATTAAATTAAAATTAAGATTAAAATTAAAATTAAAAGAAAAATTAAAGTTAAAATAAAATTTATAATTAAAATTAAAATTAGAATTGAAATTAAAACTAAAATTTAAATTAAAATTTAAATTTAAATTAAAATTAGAATTCAAATTTAAATTTAAATTTAAATTAAAATAAAAACTGAATTAATATAAATAAAAATTATAATTAATATTGAAGCTGAAACTAAAATTAAAATTTAAAATAAATTAAAATTAAAGTTAAAATAAATTATAATTAAAATTAAAGTTTATAATAAAATTAAATTTAGAATTACATGGAAAATTAAAAAAATAACATTATACAAAATACATAAAAATTTAAATAAAAAATTTAATAACATTTAGCATTAAAATAAAAGTTATTAAAATTAAAACTAAAATAAAAATTTATATTAAAAATAAAAATATCATTTAAATTCAAAATTAAAGTTTTAATTAAAAATAAAATTAAAATTGAAATTAAAATTTGAAAAAAAATTAAAATTAGAATTGAATGGAAAATTAAAAAAATAACCATGTACAAAAAAATAATAAATAAATTAAATTAAGTTTAGAAATAAATGAAAATTAAAATTGAAATAATAAATAAAAATAACACTTAAAATCAAAATTAATGTTGTAACTAAAAATAAAACTTAAATTAAAATTAAAATTAAAATCGAAATTATAATTATAGCTAATATTAAATTTAAAACTATTATATATATTATATAACAGAAATTTTATTCAGCTCTAAAACCATCGTTAATATATAAAAAATTAAATTCTGAAAAATCACTGTGATACAAATAAAAACAAAACATAAAATATTTATTTTTTAATATATATATTTTGTTATGCAAGCTTGGGATATTGCACCACACGATCGACCAAAAAAAGAAAAAAAAATCGTTTTGCACGTTTTTAATTTCGTTTTAAAATTTAGAAGACAATTTAGAATGTAAATATATAATTTGAAATAAGAATAAATATAACTTTGCTTAGTTTAATAACAGTTTAAAATTTGTCATTTTTAAATATTTTTTTTACTTTTAAAAACAACTAAAAATATTACTATCTTTTTAATATACATATATAAATAAAAAATTTTATAACAATCAGATTGGACTAGACATTTGAAATAGTTTTATTTATTTTTATTTGTTTAGTACTTAAAAGTAGTGACATGCTACATTTTAAAGTAGTTTTATGTCAAAAATTATGCTAAGCCATTTACTTAATTACAGCTAGAGTTATATATACATACATAACATAGGTATATTGTTAATAATTTAGTACTTATTTGAATAGTTTGGTATTCACTGCCATTGGCAATTGATATGTATCGATTTCATGGTTGATATGTTTCGCTTGTCACAAATTGTACACACTCAAAAAAAGCTGAGTATAATTTCTGCTTTAAGCTAAATTGCTCTAAATTGTATTTGTAGATATGTATCAGAATGCATGCAGTGACAGGAAATAAAAAAACTAATATGAAACAATTATTTTTTTTTTTTTAATTTTGCTACATTACATAACACCAATTAGTTGTCCAATTGATCAATTATGTATTTTGATATCTCATTTCGCTTTTTGTTATCACATGTTTGAAATAATTGGATAATAGAGTATTTAATTTTACTTTTTAATAAAAAAAGTAGTTGGCTATATTCACCACCTCTCCTCTGTCACCGCATGCACTAACATTAGTTACTTTAGCTCTTATATATGCACCTAAAATTACGCCTAACTTTGGATAATTCTAAAATATTTTTATCTAAGTAAATATTTCCTAAAAAGTATGTCAAACTTAAACTTAACTAGATATGTATTGCGCTACGCTAAGCTTGAACATTACCTTTAAATAGTTACACATATTTCCGCTACGAATTTCGTTTAGATTCTGTGTTTAATCCTAAATGTATGCACACCTTTTATTCAGCCTAAATTTTGATATGTTTTTGTTTGGTTCACTTGAAAGCGGAATTAACTGCAGTTTTTTTCTTAGCAAATACTTCGAAGTGTTTGCAGATTCAACTGCAATGCTTTTTATTAAGCTGTGCTTGAAAATATTTTGCAGCCATTTCAATATTTTCGTAATACTCTTCTCGGCACAGTATATTTCTAGGCGACACGCACTCAAGTACTGCTTATCTTTAATTTAATTGTAAATTTCTTAATTAAGTTGCTGTTTATTAAACTATTTTTGTAATTTTTAATACAAATTATATTTCATATTGTTCCACACAATTATTTTTTTATTTCTTTCAATACTTCATACATTTTCTATATGGTTTTATGAACTGTTCTCACCTTATCTTATATTTGTATTTTACACCTTTCATTTGTTTAAAATATGCACACTATATATACATATACTTGTACATATACCTAGTTATTTGTTTAATTTTAATTTAAACTTACTCACTTACTTTCTAGAAAATCACATTTAGTTGCTTAAAAAGTTCTTCACTCCTTATAATATCTGTTTATGTATGTATTTTTGCGTTTTTGACAATTTTTTCTATTAAAAATAATATCGAAAAAGCAAAAAGGATATACATATTATATTGGAAAACAAATCTTAAATATTAACTTATGACTTTCGCTATATTCTTATATTTTAATTAATATTCTACTTGTATATTTAAAAAATTATAAAAAGTTCTTGGGATTTATTTAAAAAATAACCTATATATTTTCTTTCCTAAATAAATACGCTTTATTTTGGAGTTTTCGGTTTATCTAAAAAATTACATAATTCATATTGCTTTTCAAAGGTTTTTATTATAAACTTTTACACATGCATTATTTTAGCACAAATTGTTAGAAATCAATATATTCGGGCAAATAAAAAATATATAAAATATTTTGGGTTAAATTTGGTGTTTTTAACTTGGTTATGAATATTTGTATGTTTATTTACTTAAATATTTAATTGTAATAAGAATGTATAGATGAAATCATTATATGCCTTCAGCACCGTAAAACTGGAATAATGTTTCCTTAACAAATTCAATTCGCAAAAATCATTTTTTTTTTTATCGGAATATAGGCATAAAATGCACAGATTGTGCAAAAGGGGTATAAAAGGCTATATAACTTTAATACATATACAAAGAGATAATATTGGGCACTAATTTGAAGAAGACGAGCTAACGTTGGTGCCCGAACAATTCGAAGGAAGTCGTCGCCTGTAAAGAAACAGCGTTTTTCGAAACAACGCTAATTCTCACACATCGACATTGAGAAACAGAGTTTTGAGCCTGAAAGTCATTGGGTTCAAGTACCGGCCGAAGTATAACACTGTTTTTTATAAATGCAATTTAACTTCCAAGAATGGTAGGCGTGGCTCCGCTTTCTAATACGTTTAATTTACGTATCTCACAAGCCAATAAAGCAATAACAACCAAATTTGCTCAGGACAATTTTTTTCGGCATCTTCTCTCTCAGTGTGAAAATCGAATGATATTTCCGCTCACCTACCATATCGGTTGTGTTGAAAACTACTACATGTACGATAACTCACTAAATAAATATATCAGAGACATTAATTTTCACATGCTACATGACACAAAAGGGCCGCATAGGAACTGATGTCAAAGTGAGCGTCATACCACCCGCCTATAGCCGAGTCATTTTCGATTTACCCGTAATATAACTATAAGGGATTATATAGTTATATGACCTAAAGTTTAGGTTAGATACCAAATCCGATAGTATTGATTGTAATCCATTGACGGCTTCGTCGAATAACGTATGAAAATTGAAAACAATGAAATTTGAAAACAAAGATTTGCCAAAGCCTAAATATAATATATGCTCCCCGACTTTGTTCTTTGCAAATTGCGAAAGTATAAAATATTCGATGACATCCGAACTTAGCTCTTCCACACTTTTTTGAATTATTTTACTATGCTGATGATGCTCTAATTAACACATGTGTGATTGCCATTCTATTGTACATTTGATGCCAATAATAATATTTAATTAACCAAAATGTGGCCACAAACTTCAAACAAACATTTCAATATGTCCTTTCGTCAATTATTCATTGTTTTGCATGACAAATTATCAAATATATGTCGTTATAATGGTTAGGTTGGTGATTGATTATTTTAGACCAATAATTTCCTTTCAAAGACAACAATTATCTCAATGAAAAAATGTACAAAATGGCATTGCGTATATAAATAAAGTACATAGACGTTTTACACAACACAATAAAAGCATGGATGGGCATTACGTAATCGAAATTATACACTAAAATTTTCTGATAATTGCAGTAAAAATTATCACTTTTCTTCCATTTTTCTATAACTATTTTAGTTTGTTTTGTTCGAGTAATATTTGCGAAATTTTTGTTGAATATTTTTGGTACATTGAAATATTTCGTTTATAAATTTAGTCATTAAATTTGTATGCCTACTGTCGCTTTGTGGTTTTCTTATGCTTAAAGTTTTGCTGACACACATATGTTATGTATATATGTACATATGTATGTAACATGATATGTATGGCATTTTCATATAAATTTTCATATTTTGTTTATACTTTTGAATTTGATATGTTTGCTTTTGCGATGAAGTCTCAAAGGAGTATAAGTATTTTGTCGATATGTTTTTGGTAGATAACATAAGTAGATGTAACGATTTTGATAAATCTGGTTACATAAATTATCTTCATGCACGCTTTCTCACCCCAGACACGATAGCTTAACACAGAGTGTAACGCTTTTAAAGTTTATGGTAAATATGTGTGTATGTATGTTTGTAAATATGTATATATGCATGAGAAGTGTGAGGCGTGCACATAAATTATATTTTGCAACATTTTTACCATATATGCTTTGGGTTTCATACTTTTTGCTACGTCTGTCTGTTGCATTTATGCGATTTCGTTTTGACGTGTAAAAATCAGTTTTGCGCAACACAAAATGTAAATAACGGTCTCTTATTACATTCGCAACATACATGTACATACTTACATATATTATTATGCATATTCATTCATACTCTTCTCGCATTCTCACTCGTTGCTGATACACTTAAATATCTACTATATCCTTTTGCAGACATCAATCCTTCGAAAATGTTGACGACACCTTTGATGTGTTGCAGAAACTTGCTTTTTTATCGGGATTATGTGCGTTTATCTTTGCATATATATTTGTGTATGCATATATGTTTGTATATAAATATTCATCATATGTGCTTATTAAGAGACATGTTCAAACTTGAATGAGAATTGGATTTTAAATTGTGACTGCTCAGTTCTATAGGAGACATTTTTGGTTAGTATTTTTAGTTTCTGCTTCAATTTTATAATTTTCATAAGGTTACATTATTACTTTTACTTAAAGGTGCGCTTAATCACGCAATCTCTGGAACTAAATACTGTCGGGTATTTTCTTGCGTTTTTTCTTCTTTTTTTTTAGCGCCACAAACAAAAATGGAAAATATAAAATTTGTGAAATTAAGTTGAATAAATCTGCCGACTCCAGCTATCGCTATTCGTCTTTTTATGACTCGTCCGTTTGTATATATACGAACTAGTCCCTCAGTTTTTGTTTTCGATCTGAAATTGTGCACCCATCCTTTTCGAAGAAGTTGCTCATTTGTCAGAACGGCCGATATTCGTCTACTATAGCATATAGGTGTCATACAAACTGAACGATCGGAATCAAGTGCTTGTATAGAAAACTTTTTCATTTGAAAAGTTATCTTCACGAAATTTAGCATAGATAATTATCCGATGCATCGCTACAATATCCGAAGGAATAGTTCAGATCAGACTGATATAACATAAAGCTGCCATATAAACTGGCCGATCAAAATCAAGGTAAAGATTTTGTCTACCCTTTTTTGCTGTAAAAATGCACCTTTTATGATATTAACTGTTGTCAATAGAATTTTAGGTATACCCACTGTGACTGTATCTTACGAAGAGCATTTTAATGTTCCTCACTTTTTATATCAATATCTAATCATAGTTTCTTGGGTTAGTTTAGACTCAGATGTTGCTAGTTTATCAGCATATTATTTTGACATATTCCTATGAAATCTGGTCTGATAGGTCTATTTCTGGATATGATCTGGTCGAAAAAATATTATGCCACTATCATGATTCCGACGCTCTATGATACTTAGGAGAGAGATTTTTATGTGGAAAAACCAAAACGTCGCGAATCATTAAAGGTAGCTTCAGAACAGAACAGGCATGTAAGAGAGCCCGAAGTACGCATTCCGGGCCCATGCTCATAACTTTCGAAAATATACGGAACATCAAGGTCAAATATATGCATAAGATTTGACAGCTTTAGAAAAATATATTCCTTTAAAAAGAATATAAGGGCTTCAAAGAAAAAAGGCATGAGTTTAATTAAACGAAAAGCGATATGTGGAAATTACAATACAATGCAAAATTTTGTATTAACAAAAAAATATTGCTATAAAAGCTTAAACTTGAAAGTCTCTGTGATCGGAGTTTTGTACTTTTCTCGGCAAACTAGTATTAACGTGTCATGAAAAATATCAGAAGCAAAATTTAAACCAAAAATATCCATCTAAAAAAATTACCCAAAAAACTATCTTCTCAATGCAGTAAACATATTGCTAAAATGCTGCGTATTTTTATAAATATGAGTATTTTTTTTTAAATTTTAAAATAAAGTTTTAACAATTTTTTCGGAATTAAATTTTTATATTGCAAATATCCTGCTTACTTTCTGCATGACTGCTAAATTCATTTATATGCCCATTTACTTGGAAATTTTTATACAAATATACACATATACATATATGCTTACTATATATATTTTTTTTAATAAATATATATATGCACTTTTTATTACCGCGCAAAAGTTCATTGCACAGAATTCGTAGGCTCGCCGACAGAATATCGTTAACACACGTACACGCATTCACACACTGACACTTACGTCAGTCGTTACAAGAACAGCAACAACCTAAATGTACGCTACATATACTTGTAGATATAGTTCTGTATACAACCACATGCAGACTTTCGCTTAAAAGAAATACTTAAATTTTAAACTTAATGCTGCAACTAGGTGTTTGTGTGTAGATCGCTTTGTAGAATTACTATAACTCGACTTAAGCTTAGCATTATTTATCGTAAATAAGTAAATAGTAAGTAATTTTTGCTTATGAATGTATATATCTATGTCATTTACATGCCGGCGATGAATTGAAAAATATGTATGTATGCGTATTAAAATTAATTATTCAACTGAAATTTGTTTTCCCATCAGTCCTTAATTCTCAATTACAGCTACTGTTGGTCGCCAATTGTCTCACTTTGTGGTCGCTTTCAGGTGGCGCTCCTTGTTTTCACACACCACACAATCGTAGCAGCGTAAATGTGTATGTGTGTGGGCCGGCATGGGCTAACCGTTAAGCGTTTGTCCTGCAATTACTCTAGTCACACATGCAGGCACACACATACAGTTACACTGTGTCCTTTTTAGTGGTTGTTATTTTGTGTGTGTGCAGCCTACTCTTCCGGCCAGCCAAGATCCTCACCAACCAATTCATAGAATCGTTGATTATGCTCGGCAAAGAATTTTCGCAATTTGGACACGACCACAGGATCAACATGTGGATGCTTGCGTCCTTTCGTTTCGCGTAAGCATCGGTCACCGCTGTCGTAACGCAAACAGTAGAAGCCTTTTGTCTCGTTGAAGTAAAAATGACTGTTAGTCACACGATGCTCGATGCCTTTATGCGGCATTCAAAGTGGTGTCAGTGTTGTTGGTGATGTTGTTATTGTTGGTTGACGATGCGCAGGTTGATGTTGCAAGCGGTATGTTGCAGTTGTCCAGTCGAAGTAAGTAATTGCAGAGGCCGCAATATGAAAATTTAATGCGTTGCAGTTGGCAGCAGCAGGTAACGGTGCAAGCCGAAGTTGAATATAAAATGTCAGCATTGCAGTAGTCAGTAATAATTGCATGCAAGGAAGAGAGAATGCATGAAGTTAGTTCTAGTTTTTTTTTTACAATGTCAGAGTGGCAAAGTTAATTGCGAGTTTTGTGTGGTATTTGAGGCAAAAAAATATGAGCATTCATGCTGCGAGTATGAGAAACACACATACATAGGTAAATGTGAAAAAAGCTAGGATTCGGGTAGTATACATTGAGATTTTTTCTGCCTCGCATATTCTATGAATAGAATTATATAGTGTATACATAACTACATATGTATGTATGTATGTATGCTTAGTGATGTATGTATTTATAATTTGACAGAAATTGCAAAGTGTCCAAGCATACACACAACTGGTTCAAATAAAATAGATTTGTTAAATGAAATAGAAAGAGAGAGAGAGCGAGAGAGAGAGAAGGGTATGTGGTTACTCTCTTGTACTAGACTCAATCGCATACCTCTGTTATTGCTCTCTCCTATAAACTTTTTAACAAGAACGCAATACTCCAAAATAGCAAGCAGGGAAATAGCGAATCAAAGACGACCATACTTTACCTAAAACACCCTGTCGAATTTTAAGAAGCTTTTACTTCAAATATAAAACACACTTTCCAAGCTTTCTGTCATTAGTTTTGTCTTTTACAAGTACCTTAAAGTGTTATATTCACTTGCAAGTCAGAAAACAACAAGTTTTTTATAATTTTTTTTTGAAACAGACATTTTACTAGATACAAAAAAAAAACAAAATTAACACCTACGGAATTTAATGTGCTTTAATAATTGGCGATTTATTTTGAAAAAATCAATCGATTTTTTTCCATATTACAATTCACTAAAAATCGCGACATATAATAGGTGAGAGAGCAACACAATTTTATTCAGTTCATTCTTAACGCGGTGTTCGGACTGTCCCAATCAAACCGGGACGAATGGTCAACTAAGGTTATATATGTATATACAATATAAACGATTAAGATGACGGAACGAGTTGAATTTCGAGTGACTGTCAGTCTGTCCGTCCGTCCGTCCGTCCCTGCAAGCGATAACTTGAGTAAAAATTGTGATATATTGATGAAACTAACACACGTTCCTTTGCATGAAAGGGGGATTGCCACATTCACGACCCGCTATTGTGGGACCGGACCGAGTAGGTTTAATGTCTATATCTCCCAAATCATTCAGGCTATGTCACCCAAATTTGAAATCCTTTTGACACTTCTTACGACAGTGAGAAAATATGTGAAATCGGTTGATCACTCCGCTCACTCCCCATGTAACGGGTTTGTTAAAGAATACTACAAATACGATTATTCAATAAAACATTTGTCGGGGATAAACCTTGGCGCAAATAGTGCCATCTGAAGTGTAGAAATTATCAAAATCGGACCATAACTGTTCCAGCCTCCAGTTACTGGAAATGTGTCACCCAGTGTCTACAGCTGACTTTTTACCGATAATATTAATCAACTTGTAAGAGAGAAACTCTTATTCATTCCGAATCATTTCCTGATAATAGTTAGTTTGTGTGCCAAAAATTGTTTGACTCGTGTCAATACTTCCCTTAGCCCCCAGATATCTAATAGAAAGACTTTCGAACTTCCGGCTGACTTTATATATATTTTATTTAAATTGAGTGAGCGTGTTTTTCTCCTAACCGTGGATCTATTTGCCCCAAATCAGTGCCTAATAATAGTGCGCCTGAAATAGATAATATCAGGACTTTCAAACCAACGGTTGACTTTATTCCTTATATAGTGAAGATAACTCAGATAGCATCTTTTTCTGTGAATAAATCATAATATGTTAATATCAAAAAGATAAAATCGAGCCTATACTAAACCTACTTCTATCCCATAGGTTAACGCAACAAGCTCAGATCTCTCTCTGCCCCCAATATACCTTGTGTAGTGATTTCTGACTTTTCAGCTGACTTTAAACCCTTTAGGTTGGTCAAACTGTGTGATATTTGAATGAAACTAAGTAGACAAGTTGGTGTGGACCTTAGTGTAAATCTCATATACCTAATATAATGAATTCCAATGGTCCGCTGGTTGACGTTTTCCACATCAATTCAATAAATAAAATTTAGCCTCTTCGGTTGAGATTATGTCACATATATCCTATTTGAAGATGATTTTAATACAATTTTAGCTGACGCGAAGTTAAATACCGCAACAAAACTAGGTGTCCCTGACTCATAATATAATACAAAATAATAAATTAATAAAAAACCAAATTTGATTTTTATCCTTTCAAATAATTATTAAAACTTTTTATAAGAAGGTCGCGTAAAAATTTCAAGTTTATTGTCCCAGCCGCGAAAATTTCCTCTGTCGGCGTAGTAGTGACACTATGCACATATATTTATATTATATAATATATTTTATATATTTATATATTTTATATATTTATATATTTTATATATTTATATATTTTATATAATTAAAAAAATTCTCATTACATACAATTAACTCTGCTTATATTTCCTAGTTACCATATACTACAGTAAATAACTCTTCGAATGCGAAGTTCATATTTCAAGAGCAAACTTATGCAAAATATATTAGCAATCTCGAAATAGATTAGCACTTCATATGCACTGTTTTAGTTACAAAGGCATAATCAAAAATGATATTAAGACTTCTCAAACAACTACAATAAGTTGAATGTAATATTAATGCTTATTTCAGCAAGTGCATATTATGCAACTACACAAATTTATCATTTTCTATATGTAGAGTCAAAATTTACTACTAAAATATGCGCATTAGATATATCTTTGTAACGTTGAGAGTTAATTTGAGTAGCAATACATATGTACACATGCATTTGACTGATTGATTGTTACGCGCTGCTTAAATGTACTAATCTGTGTTAGCTTTTGTATGCAAATGTGTATGTAGCTAGTACTTGTACATACACATATATGTATATGATTTGTGTATAAGAGATATCGGCTTTAATAATGATATTGGTATTCTACGTCTAAGAGTAAGTTTTATATAAAAGTGAATTAAGCCTTTTGAAATATGTAAAGTAGCTTCACAAATTCTAGAATTCTTTTCGCTTTAAAGTACAAAATTTGTAAAAAAAAAGTAGATTTATTTTTACAAGACCTCATACCTATGTGATAATTCCTGTTACGAGTATATGATAACCCTCTCACAAAATTAGTAAACATTTTACTATACCTTTCGCATTTTTAGGTAAGGCTAAAAAATTATTTCCGTGACATTTTCGATCATTGATTTTTGCAAACTAGGCCCATCTGATCCTTACGACAAAAAATTCAAATCTTGTGACATGTATGTAATGTAAATTTAATGACCTTGAAAGTCAATCGAAATTTGCTTTTGTTTTTCATCAGTGAGATATTCGTAAAGTACCTATATTTCATTGCTATTCCAACAATTTACTTCGGAAATTTATATAAAGTATGTGTATGTATGTGTGGAGACGAAAATAAATCCATTTGAAAATATCCATGTGACATTCCAAATCATTGAATCGTATTAGCCAAGTAAATTGGGTTGAGGTGCAACTCATCCTGCATCGCCTATTATTTACTATTGCCATTGGGCAGTAATCACGTGTTGTCACCCATACGGCCGCGTAGAACGCGCAACATAGCAGCGTGCTATACCTACTTACTTTACAAGTATTTAAAGAAAACACGTACACACTAATACCTGTATGTGTGTGTGTGTTTAAGTTTGCACATGCTTTCATTACACTTTAATCAAATTAGGGCAACACAATTAGCAAAATGTAGCAGCAGACATTCACGCACACACCCACATGCACACGTAGCGGCAGACAGGAAGTAATTATGTAGGCAGGGAGTAGATGAATATATGTATATGTAGATAAATCTGTAGTGGGGGTGGGGTTGCTTCCGCTTTGCCGCCGCTAACTAACGACTTACCTAAGAACGTTTCGATGCGCTTCAATTGCGAAACGGGGTCCTCAATTAATCGATCACCATTGACAACGAGTAATTGCTCGCGCGGGAAGACTTCCAGCCAACGATGCAAATGCAAATGATATAGAGATATGGTTAGCGGACGATAGGACTCATTAACCGTGCCATTGGGGAATATGGCCAGCTCCTCGAATGATCTACGAATACCAAAATACAAAAAGAGTGTATGAGTGCGAGAAAATAGAAGAAAGAGGAGTTATAAGTATATAATTAAGTATTTATATAATTAAGTTTTATATATATACATACGTAAGCATATACATCTACTTATACACTTATACTTGTATAGTACAGTGCGTTTTTAAATGTTACGTATACGCCATGTCGCCACTGCTGTATGCCTGCCTATGGTACATACATATACATACACCCATTTACTGATGCACACAAATGCTATAAGCGTTAAGCAAAACATTTTTGTTTTCGCTCAATTTAAATTGAACGGCAACACGCGCTTATTTTATTGAATTAACAAATTAAAATGAATGTCGCGTCTGCTCCATTCATTTAGTAGGATGGCACAAACGTAAGTAACTTGTTACGGCGCATACAAACTCAGCTAACCAATGCTTGCCGTGTTGAATTTTTACAATTTTCTAACATTTTACATTTCATTTGTATGCAAAATAGACAGTATGAGCACACTTCCTTTCTTTTCAGCGTTTTATTACTGTATTTTCATAGCATACACTTTAGCGCTGCAGCAGCATGCTAACACATACACATATATATCCATATACAATTTTACACTTAGTTGCTGGCACTTACTTGCTTGCAATTTGAGCTGCTGCTGCTGCGGCTGCCGAGCCAGGCGTTGGCGCTGTTGTGTGCGTTGATTCACCAATACGATTCCGTACCGCGCCACCACCTTCATCACCCACAACGCCGCCATCACCGCCACCACCACCGATGGCATTATCATACACTTGTGCTGCTGCATAATACTTGCTCGTTTTGCCATAGAGCGCCATATGCTGGGACGCGCGCAGCTGCTGGTTCGTATAGCCCGCGCCGGGGCCATAGCCAGAGCCGGCTGCATCGATGGCGCGGACGCGACGCCTCTGATAGCTATTGGCGTTGTATTTAGCGGGTGCTGGTGACGGTGGTGCTACTGCGGGTCCATCGGCTAGCGGCAGCGTAGCCGTGGCCGCGTGACTTCGTAATTGTGTGTAATCAGAAATGGCCCTTGTCACCGGTTCACGTACAATGAGCAAAAGTTTTATGCTGGCATTCATGGCGCGCACACGTTCCGGCACCTAAAAGACGAAAGCGAGAGAACGGCGTGAGTAAAAAGTATAAATTAGAATTGCAAAACATTTAAAATATGTAGTGAAAGCGTGAATGCAGTTGCCTGTGTATGTATGTATGTGTGCAGATCACTGTTTGTAATGAGAGCAGAATTGAATTTGTCTTCGTTGGAGTTTCATTTTATTGGCTTTTCTCGATTTTCACATTGATACTTTCCACTTTGCTGCACATGTTTTTGCTTGCCGACAACTGCTGCCAAATTAATTTACAGTTTCGAGTTTCGCCGTCGCATACACTATACTTTCTATGCTTTCCAGTGAAGGATGTTCAGTTGTTTCAGTATGTTGCATACAAACATAGTGTATAAGAACTTTTGTACATATGTAGATATGTATATAAATGGCAGTATGCTCTGCTAATTAACTTAATAAGTTTAATGCAGGCGCAAGTTCTGTTTCACAACAAAAACAACTACAGCGGGGAAAAAAATTAGCGCTGTGAGTAATTTAAGTGCCGCAGGTTGCTTCAGCCTGGAGCAGTAGCTCAAAACAAAAAGCTGCTAATTGTAACAGTAAACTTACTTAGTTTATAAAAAACAAAAAGTAAATAAATTCACGCAATGTAGATCTAAATTTTTAATATGATTCATTAGCAGACTTGGGCAAATAAAGTAGAGCAAAGTTTAATCTAACATGAAACCAAGTGTCGAAGATGAATCTAAAGATCCGATCTTCAAACGACAAATCTATAAAATCAAAGTTGGTATTGCTCAGTTCGAGATAAATGCTTTTAAGATATATCAAGGAAACATATTGGATTCATAGTAAATGAGTGTTTGAGTCTGCGATACCTCCAGGCGCAGACCGCGCGCACCATTAACCAAAAAAACAAAAACACCTAATTAATAATTTTAGGCAATGGTTAAAGCGCAGAAGTCTGAAACAAACGGTATTCACGGTGAAATATCTGCCACTGTTTTTCAAATAGTTTTTAACCGCTCTTGCAAATAAGGGCAAGCGTTGTCAAGATCGAAAATTATTGTATTGTGTCTAGTCGCAAATGCCAGTCGTTTTCCGGAAATCACTTTGATACATTTGCAGAGCGTCCTGTTAATGGTTTCACTCACCAAAAACAGAGCATTACGTTGGCGTCATTAATATTCGGCTTTGCCGTTAATTTGGGCGGTTGGTCAGATTTAACATATGATCACTAGAGTTTAGGGTTATCGTAGTGGTTAAATTTTTTAACAAAAGTCACAAGCCGATGCAAAAACGACCTTCTTTTGTGGCGTTTTAGCAGCATTTTAGACATGTAAAATCTTTCTGCAATATCTCTTGGCTTGAACTCATATGGAACCCAATTTCCTCACTTTTTGAATGTATCTGTCTTCTATGAAACGTTCTGAAATGGCTGCTTGAGTGACTTCAAAAGATTCTGCAAACTGTTATTGTATTGGACAACAGTCTTTATCGGGTTTTGCTTCCTGTTCCTTGTCCTCCGTCTTTCGAAGCCAAACTCACCACCTTTAAATCGTGCAAACCACTTATGGCTCATTTGCTCAGCGAGAGTATATTCACCAGAAATTTCCACCAAAATATAATCATTTTCAATTTTATAATGAGTAATTATGAATCTTGCTTCGAATATTTCTGAATGGAAAAGAAATACACCAAAAACTACTTGTTACTTAACAAAAATAAAATATTATGCCATCACCTATCATTTCACTCTACCCTAATCAATCAGCAAAGCACTCAGCTTGAATGCTTGCAATTAATTTTTTAATAACATTATTTCCACCGTCAAAACGCGATATACGCTAACTATACCTTCTGACCACTCTAACAACGCCCAGATTCATGCATGACTTGTCAACTAATTCTAATTAAAAACACTTAAAGGGCGCCATGAATTCAATTTTTAAATACCAATCCTTTGCAAAACGGCATGCAAAGAGTGCACATATAACAACAACACCGATAAAATTGAAACAAATATATATCTATATATAAGCGAGCAGATGGATATTGAATCGCCGTTTATGCAATAATGTTTCAAGGACAAACGCTCATTATACAATTACAAGCGGCTGCTAATTACTGACCCAAATATCCGTTGAATAGTCGCGATGTCATAAACGTTACGTTGAATGCATAAAATTGGCTTTCGAGCGCACCCCCGTTTAATTGCTTTGTGGTGCATGAACTGGATCAGCATGAAAACGGCGCTTTGCCTAGCATATAATTAGGCGCTGACAACTCGTTTTACTCTTTAACTGGCTGGCCAATGCACTGGCTGCCTGTGGCTGCGACTGACGAGCACAATAACGATAAACAATTATAAAACCAAGCGGAAAAAAGCATAGTAAAAGAGCAAGCAAAGCAAGGGTGGCAAGGAATGCATGTAATCGGGTCAATCCAACGCAGACAAAAGGATTATGCCGCTAACTTAATGAAATAAAATATTTAATAAGAGCGCACAGACAGCTGACAGCTACCAGACTAATGAATATCAAAGTAAATAAAAGTACGGTTGAGTTAATACAGCAAAAAAATCTGCCAAGCGTACAAAATCTTTAAAGCCAAACTACTACAACTACAACTAACATACAATATATTTCTTCCTTACTTATTATTCAACCCTAAAATATATGCAACAAACGCCTCATTTGTGCTGTGTGCTGAAAAGTTACAAATTTAGCGTCTGGCAACAAGTGAGCCATTTAATCCATTCAATGGCCGCAACCAGCCAAGCAGTCAGACAGTCAGTCATTTTGGCCATTGAGTTCGCTTATGCAGACACAAGCGGCTGTTTGTGCAGTCATAAAAAGCAAATATATTGCTCGACAAATTGAACCCAATTGAACTCGGTAGACATGTAAATTAATTGACAGCTAACGGTGTTGCCAAAAAGCATACAACGCTGGGTGAGCATTTTGAGAAGCTCCGTTTGTGACAGCCGACCTTTTGGCAGACTAAAGCACAAGAAAGCAGCGTTGAAAGTTTGCCAGAATTTGGTGAAATGATTTTTAGTTGTCTTTGTGTTTTTCAATTGGTGCCCACTTACAATAATATACGGTATATAAATAATTATGCATTTACCATAAGAGATTACAACTAGCAATGGCAATTTTTTTAGCAAGCCTACGACAGTTCAAAGGGTATAAGTAAGTGTTCCACAGCTAAATATCTTATATATAGACTATACAGGGTTGTTTAATGAAAGAACTGTATAAATAATTTTGTACTAAAATATATAAAATATAGAGGTTATATTTTATTTTTATAATCATGGAACTAACAGTTGTTACCCGACTATTGTGGAATCCGTCGAACGGTCGTAGCTACAAAATTTACTTCTTTCGTAGTTTAGTTGTTAAAGAAGTTGGAGGACATAGTTCCGTTATTTCATATTGTTTAGTGAGTACATATTGAATTTAAGGTTATCGCTCATTGCTCACCAACTGTCAGTACTATTCTAGTATGATAGAGATAGCATACATTGAACTTCAAATAAAATTTCATTTTTATTCATCGAACTAGCGAAGTATAAAAAAAGACGATATACTTGTATATGGCAGATACTTTTTTTTAAATATTTTGTTTAAAAAAGTTTCGTGAATTCGGAATTGGTGTAGAAAGTTTCAAAATTCTTCAACTAAGCAGTTAAATTTGCTTTAGAAATTTCTCTTATATATCTCAATTATAAAAAATGATTTTTCCAAGATTAATGCAATATTTGTTAAACGGGTATTACCGTCTTTAGCTTGTATAATTTATTACAGTATTAAAAAGTATTATTTCTAAAAATTATTAATACAATTAAGAGCTCCACAATTTTCGCAAAAAGAGCGGCATGAGGATTAAATAGAACGTTATAACAAGCTAACTAGCATTATTTCCTTACTTTATGAGTATCTTTTAATATATAATATAATAAATATGTACAAGGTGTATTCATTTGTATATATATGTGCATATGACCCGACGAATATACATTTGTGTACTTAGGTATGACAACTTCCTTGTTAAATAACTGTTTGTTGCAGTATGGCATGTGTCGGAAATATCTCGTCTTGTTCGTTCATATTTTATTTATTCAATTTGTAAAATGCTATTGTTTTTCAATTTCTATTTATAGTCATATTTCAACATATTTTCATTTATTTTAAATATTTTCATATTTGGCAAAAACAACTACTTTTTTGTATTTTGTGCACGCAACCGTAAAAATAGTAAGAAATGGTGAAGTTTCTTGGATATTTGCCAACTTTCAATTGTTCTTTTCTCTTAATTGGAATTTTGAAATTGAATTAAATTTTAGCACTTCTATTGCGATGTTTTTATTTAGTTTTATTTGGAAATGAAATGCTTTAAAGAGCAATGCATGCAATTGAAAATTACAAAATTAAGTTTTGAAGCTTATCTTTTAATAGTATTAAAAAAGAGAGTATCAAACATTTTGATGGCAATTTTTTTTTTTTGGCTTTTCCATCAATTTTGAATTTTGTATTTAATATTTTTTATTATATAACAATGGACATTTTGAAAAATAATTAAAGTTATAACAAATTTGCAAAGCTGAAAGAAATGCTTTTATTAAATATTTAAATAACTACTCACAAAATAAAATTTTTGGTGTAGCGGCTCTTCACAACGACAGAAAATGAAAAATATGCAGAGACCCAAAAAATGAAAGATGGTGATTTCGGCAATTTTTGGCCAATAGGACACAACACACCTTAAACGCGCTATTTGTGTAAAGTTTTATTCCGATATAAATCTAAAAATATATCCAAAATTGATTTTATATGAAAGGCAACAAAACCACTTCTGAGCTTCTAAATATAGAAGTTAGATTTAAAACATTAGAATGATTTAAATTTTTTAGGAGTCAGAGGTACTTAGATGATACACCTTTCTGGTCATGATTTCCTAAACAAAATTACCTAAGTTACAAAGTCACTAACTAATGAAGAATTTAGCATTTAACATCAAATCCTTTAAGG